ATATAAGAGAAATGCATCACAACTCTACTTTAACAATGAATCAAGGATCACTGCCACCTAAACTGGTGATTGATCAATGAATAACATTATTCCTTTTATATCGACATGCACAATTCAAGTGTACAGTTTTTCAAATACATGAACATGTATCGTACGCGTGCGTGCTTGTGAAAGTATGGATTCTTTTCTTTTGTTAGTGAGGATACATGCCTATATATATACAACTCGAGCCTGAAGAGATTGCTAATATTGTAAAGGATTTCGATGAGCCTGGATTTCTTGCTCCTACTGGGCTACACCTTGCAGACACTAAGTAAATGGTGATTCAGGGAGGACCCGGTTCTGTCATCTGTGGAAAGAAGATGCTTTATCTAACTCTCTCAAAAAATTGTGATTCATATGCAAAATGTAAGCATTTAGTATGACAGCCAGGTTGCATGCCTTATTGACCTTTAGTAAATTTCGAGTAGTCCATTATGTTGTATTATTTTAGAATCTCGTTTGAATTTCGACCATGAATTCTAACAAAAACAGGTGGATTTTGAGATGTGTTTGCTTCCTTCTCCTTGACATAATGTTCATTTTGTGTGGTCTGTACAAACTACAATGGATTCAAGAAAATTCTCGTTACGTCTGTTGAACCAGCTTATCTAAAAGTTTAAATTATCTGTAAAAGTGACCGTTTATATATTTAAATATAGTCCTTGCAATCCCTATTCTCGTTATGTTTGTTAAACTATCTCATCTAAAAGCTTAAACTGTTAGAGATAGAAAACGTTTATTTTTTCATTAATGACTCATTCAAAAGTTTCGAAATGGGTGGCTGCGAGATTAAACTCCAAACCTTTGTATGTTGTTGTACCAAGTTAAACCATCCATCTATCCAAAGCTTAGAGAGAGAAATTTTATAAATGTTGAAATATGGCACATTTCCATAGCACGTCGCGTTTCATTGTCGATAAACATGTTGCTTTGATCTCTCTTATTGCAGGGGTCTGATGGTGTAGCCGTAAAGAAAACTGG